GAAGGTCAACTTGGTCCATAGTTGTAAGAAAGCAGTGACACTCACAGAAAACGCGAACACAAAAAGGCACTGGTCGTCAAAGGAAAAAGGTGGAAAACTCCAGATGTGGCATCGCCGTCGAGCCCACTTGAAATGTGTCACACTTTTCTTAAGCAGAACAGGTCCGTATCCTTTGGTGTGCACCGTCAGCAACCAGTCAGCAAAGTCAAAGTCAATGTGATGTGAAAAAAAGTCATCTTCATCTTCAAAAGCACATGACTTTCACAAAACGCATATTATAACAAAAGCGACTAATAATGAATTTAGTTGCCGAAAAACAGCAGTAAAAGAGTCGAAAGGCGCAAAGCGAAGCTGAAAAAAAACAGTACCAACGAGTCGAAAGGCGTGAAGCAAAGCTGAAAAAAAACAGTACCAAAAGAGTCGAAAGGCGAGAAGCGAAGCTGAGAAAAAACAGTACCAAAAGAGTCGAAAGGCGTGAAGCGAAGCTGAAAAACCGCTACTGCTAGGTCCAAGGCTGGAAATCTGCTACTGCTGAGCCCGGTTCGGGACTCGCATCCTGCCGGAGTTTAACCCTGATGAACAGAGACTCTACTACCACCACCACCAGCAGCAGGTACTAGGATCTGCTACTGCTAGCACCGAAAAATGAGAAACTAACGGCAGAAGTCATACCCGTCCATACTGACCTCATTTTTTCAGCACCGCTGCAGGATCTGGGTTCGAGTCCCACCTGAGCCCAACATTCACGCAATTCTTCCTTCACTCCCAAGACGGTACCCGAGGCCGTAGAGGGACATTGACAGAACCGTAAGCCCGAATCATATGTCCCATAACCGCCAATCTCTTGATTGCTAGTAGATCCGGCCGACCGTAAGATTCTCTTATCCGGTTTACACTGATCCTTTCAGTTCTTCAACAGTCAATGCGTCAAACAACTCCCGAACATCTCTTTCAAACCTCCTGCTTTGCCGAGCTCCGAGGTCCAAGGTCTGGCTCCCGCAGCCACATGTTTCAACGATATCCCCAATTTCCCGGCCTCGGTCGGTTCCATCACGTTCGTTCCCCAGGCTTCCCTTGTGCTCCCTCCGTGTTCTCTCTTTTTTTTTTTTTTTTTTTTTTTTTTTTTTTTTTTTTTTTGCGCTCCCGTGTTCTTAATTTCTCCGACGATGCTCGCTTGTGTGTCATTACCCAATATCTTACCTTGCTCCGTGTTCTTTATTTTCTTCTTCAATCCTTGCCTTTGTGTCCTTAGTAGACTTCTACCCAACGTGGTCTTCTGCTCCTGAATAGTTGTGTCCGCCTATTCATAGCTTCCCCACAGGAGTTTCCAGCGTTTCGGTTTCCTTTTCTCCCATATTTTCACCCCCGCTGCTCGGCATTGCAGCAGAAGGGTTTTTTTTTTTTTTTTTTTTCGGTAAGCCCTCGGACAAGAATGAACGAACGAACTCATCTTCATCATCTTTATCTTCAATCTGTTCATGACAAGCTTTCATCCGCAGCGAACGCCTCTCGTTTTCCTCCTCACATGACATTTGTGAGGGACACCAGGCTTTTGCCCTGGCTTTAAAGATGGGGGCAGGGGAGGGGGGGACTGGTTACAATTTGTATAAGCAAATGCTCAACCAGGAAGAAATCCAAAACAAAAGCTGGCATACGTTCAAATTGAGCCCAACTCCCAATCAGGAAGAAACCCAAAACAAAAGCTGGCATACGTTCAATTGAGCCCAACTCCCAAGTTATATGAAGGCCCCTCCACACAATGCACGAGATGGCAAAATAAGAGAGTGCATCTGCCCAGAGCAGGTGGCAAGATGCATCCGTTACTATTCACGGATGCATATTGCCAGTTTCTGTAGGAAAGATGCACATGCACTTGTTTTTGTTTCAAGCTCCGTACGGCCAGGCGTAAACTCATATTTCAACCAATGCCCTCCCCGACGCGCAGAGTGCAGGATCAAAAGGTGCAGCATCCATGCCATCTAAGCTAACTGTGCCAGCAGAGATCCCTTGCATAAAAAACATTTATGTTTCACTCCACACACACCAGATGTCGGCATATGTTCAATTGACTGCAACTCCCAGGGTATATGATGCCCCCGCCCCCCCGCCACACACGCATGAACTACTCACCCCTTAGCACTCTTCCACACAACATTTCAGCCGAGTGATCCCCTCCTTTCGGCCAATCCTATTCTTTTTTTTTTGGCAATCTGCTTGCTTGTTGACGGCGTAAAGGGAAATGAGAAAGAGGGATCCTTTTGAGATCCCCCTCCACACACACCCCACATTTTGTTACACTCTACGTGGCCATTTATGTTACACTCCAACCCCCCACCACCACCACCACCACCACCACATGAACTACTCACCCCTTAGCAGTCTTCCACACAATATTTCAGACGAGTGATCCCCTCCTTTTGGGCAATCCTCTTGTGTTTTTTTTTCCCTTTTTTTGGTGGCAATCTGCTTGTTGACGGCGTAAAGGGAGATGAGAAAAAGGGGATCCTTTTCAGATCCCAAGCACACAACTGTAGCCCTTTTTCTCAAAAACCCGAATGCATATTCAATTTGTTGGCTTCATCAGAAGAAAAGAAAAAAAAAAGAACTCCAAGATTGTGTTAAAAGGAGGAACCAAAAGCCAAATGCCTACTGTTGACTAAATCTCGAAAAAATTTAAAAAAATCACAATTTTTTAAAAAATCACAATGATGCCTTTTTCATAGAATTCAAAACAAAAGAGGAATCCAATAACATGAACTGAAAAGTTGAAAAACCAAATGCGTATTGGTGAAAACCGGGCGACTATTGCTATTGTTACTTAACTATCCAACGACGGACATCCAATTTGCACCAATAGGCATCTGGTTACGCGTCGAATGCCACAAAGTTTCTATACCCTTCAAAATGCTTCGTCGGAAAGAAAAACGCCAAGAGTGTGAAAAGCGAATGCCTATCCTGATGGTGCGAACTCAATTTGGTGCAAAACGAATGCCTACTGTTTGCCTAAATCTCAAATTTTTGCCTTGTGTTGTTATCTTCCTGAACTCCCAATCTCAAAAGGATGGCTTCATCCAAAACGCTCTACGAAAGCTCGTTAAATAAATTAAAAATAAAATAAATCAATAAATCAACAAAGAAAAACAGTCCGCACGTGTGAACAAGAGAAAATAGTCAACCTTTTGCAATGAGGGTGAAAAAAAAAAAAAAAAAAAAAAAAAAAAAAAAACATCCTTCTGCACGTGGAAATTTGGGCCCACAAATAGAGAGACTTGCCAGGGCCAATCTGTGACGATCACAAATTTTTTGATTAAAAAAATGGTCCAATTTATTACCAAAAAGTCATGAAGAGGAGAGGAAAATGAAAAATGATCTGCCGCAAAAACTATATAGCTTAGCTACCCATCCTCATCAGCCACACCCCCTTGGAGTTAACCCACCACCCACTTCCAAGGCCCTTTTCTCTGGGGATGGACTCGAAGCCTGCGCGTGCCAAAAAGAAACGAACTGGGGCGGGGCTGCTTTTGGCGTACTACGCCGGCAGCCATTTTGCTCCGGAGGCCAAGCCCCGAAAGTTGTGGCTGCATGCAAGCCGCATATTTTTCTGCGTCGGCTGGGAAACCTACTGGTGGGTTTTAAACCAGCAAGACTTTACTCAGCCTTCATTTTTCTCCGACTCAGCCATTAGCGCGCCGCAAATTTCGGGGGTTGGGCAACGAGAGCAAAATGGCTGGCAGAGCGCGCCGCAAATTTCCGGGGTTGGGCAATGGGAGCAAAATGGCTGGCGGCGGCAGTGCTGGTGGAGCTCAATGGTAGTCCTCGTCGATTACCATCTTCACCTAATTTCGACCCAATACAATGTACAATCATTACAGCTGCAGTTTGTTTTGGGGCAAAGTAGTCTAGATACAGCAATAATGTGACCATGCGTTGTTCTGTCCACTTGAACTAATCCCCTGAGGGAACGGAGGAAATGGGATTTGAATTTTGAACCCATGATACAATCTTGTTGTATGTTGATTTAGCAAACCAATGCCATCAGCCACTCAGCCACTCAGCCATACCTCCCAGGAAAGACGGGATTTGAACCCGCGACTTCTGGCATGACAGACCAGCACTCTAACCAACTAAGCGATTTTTTTTTTGCTGCAATGTTAGTCGCCAATGCTCAAGGCTGCCCAACAGCATTTCAGGTTTCAGGGCTGGCAGCTTTAAGCCGCCAGTTCCCGGTCGCTGCTTTGCATAAAGTTCTTGTCGCCACAAGCAAAACACGGAGAGGCCGCACGGTGCGGGGCGCTGTTGAAAACAAAATCCGGCGGCTTCCAAATTCGTGCGGGTTTCATGACAATTCCGAGTATCCGGGTACTATCGTAGGACGTGAAAACACCCGATCCCATTCCGACCTCAATACGTGAAATCGTCTTACGCCATATGTACTGATTTATTTTGGGAGACATGGTTCAAGCCCGGACCTATCAATTTCTTGTGCAAAGAAGAGCCATACTAATACTACGCGCGCGGGATAGAGTAATTGGTAACTCGTCAGGCTCATAATCTGAATGTTGTAGGTTCAAATCCTACTCCCGCCAATCTTCCACCAATCTCTATTGGATGGAGAGAAGTTCTAACTAAT